ATGTAAAACACTAGGATGAAGGCCACACAGATGAAGGCCAAATGGATGAAGTCCACTAGGATGACGGCCACACGGATGAAGGCTACATAGAAAATGGCCACACGGATGAAGGCCACAAGGATGAAGGCCATAGGGATGTAGACCACTAGGATGATGGCCACACGGATGAAGGCCACATGAAAAAGGCCACAATAATGAAGGCTACACGGATGATGGCTACAAGGTGAAGGCCACAAAGATGAAGACCACCAGTGTAACACGGGAGGGGTATTCGTTCTGTACTTCGTATCATTGTTCTCTCTAATTCTCTCTGTAGCCATATTCTGACTTAAACTCTCTATCCAAGGGACCCCACAAATTTTACTCGAGTCGACCCCACGCCACGTGGTCTTAAGACGATTGACCGACTTAAGATTTTACAACTCGTATAACGTGATATAGATTCCTAGCAAAGCTCTAGAGTCGCCTCTGCTGCCACCACCAGACCAGAAACACTGATCGATGACCGAGGTCTGGATCGATCATGCTAATCAATAACTTTGGGGCTTGATCCCCACTAGTTAGATGACTTGGGTATCCCTAAGTGTGGAATTAATTAGTAATCAAAGGGAATACTGAATTATGATTCGGTGTTAGAATTGGCGCCCAACTCAACTCGGCCTCGCCGGCTACCCATGTGGTATTGACCAATTCACATAAATTACACAAAAATGGAAATTAATAAAAAAAAGAAAATTTAATAGCTAAATGGTTTATTCAAAAACTAAACAAAATCTAAATCAATTCACTCCCTAACCTGAACACTTCCTACTTGACCTTATCGGCAATGAGTTGACCTATTCCCTATACAAAAATTCTGAGCAACCTTTACCCTTTTGGCGACCAGCTAGATGTTTGTGCTAAGGTCTTGGGGAGAGGTGGAGTGGACACCTTTCCTGGGATGATCCGGATACCACACTGTCCTCTCTCTGATGCTCCTCTACCCAGGAGCCCAGAGCAGAGTATTGTTCCGCCTAGTTCCGCCTAAATGAACAGGGACATGCAAATGACCTGCTACGGATGTGCGACAGGTTTGCCTTAAACCAGCAAATAGTAGAACCAACTAGGAAGGAGAACACGCTGGACCTCATTTTCACTAATAATGATGAATTGATCAGGAACATAATGATTACAAATACCTGTTACTCAGATCACAACTTAATTGAAGTTATGACAACCATGGGGAGTAGACCTGCACAACCAGTCCAGATTCCCGGTGGAGGAGATTTCAGCAAATTCAACTTCAATAATAAACAGATAAACTGGGAGCAAATAAACCAGGACTTCACAGAAATAAACTGGGAAGAACAGCTAGAAAATGCAAACCTGAACCAGTGCCTGGAAAAAATAAGCTCAGTAGCACTAGAAATATGTTCAAATCGCATACCTCTAAGAAAAAAGAGGAAGAGATGCAGATTGGAACGGGAACGTCGTTCCCTATATAGGCGAAGAAAACGAATCGCGGAACAACTTGAGAGTCGCACCCTATCTCAAGAACGGCGAAGAAGATTAGGTAGAGAAATAGAAACAATTGAACGGAAGCTACAAGAATCATACAAAGCCCAGGAGAGGCAAAGAGAGCAAAAGGCCATCAGTGAAATAGAAAGAAATCCGAAATATTTTTTCTCCTATGCAAAATCAAGATCAAAAACCACATCTAGTATCGGGCCCCTGCGAAAGAGAGATGGAACATTCACCGATGACAACAAAGAAATGAGCGAGCTACTGAGGAAGCAGTACGACTCTGTTTTCAGCGAGCCATTAAACACACTAAAGATTGTTAACCCAAATGAATTTTTCATGGATACGATACCAACATCAAATCATATATCAGACGTCACCCTATCCCCACTGGATTTTGAAGAAGCCATAAACAGTATGCCTGTGCACTCTGCACCAGGCCCGGACTCTTGGAACTCCATATTCATAAAGAACTGTAAAAAACCACTATCGCAGGCCCTCCACATTCTGTGGAGACAAAGCCTAGATACTGGCGTTATTCCTGATATACTAAAAACAGCAGAGATAGCACCACTTCATAAAGGAGGAAATAAGGCAGAGGCAAAAAATTACAGATCGATAGCGCTAACATCGCACATCATAAAAATTTTTGAGAGAGTGCTAAGAAGTAAAATCACAAAATACATGGAATCACAGCAACTCCATAACCCCGGACAACATGGTTTCAGAACAGGGCGCTCTTGACTGTCGCAGTTGCTGGACCACTATGATATGGCATTAGATGCTATAGAAGACAAACATAACGCGGATGTAATTTACACAGATTTCGCAAAAGCTTTTGATAAATGTGACCATGGTGTTATTGCACATAAAATGCGTTCAAAAGGAATAACCGGAAAAATAGGCAGATGGATCTACAATTTCCTGACCAACAGAACCCAATGTGTAATAGTCAACAAAATAAAATCCAGCCCATCAACCGTGAAGAGCTCAGTCCCCCAGGGTACTGTGCTTGCTCCAGTGCTTTTTCTCATCCTCATTTCGGACATAGACAAGAACACAACCTATAGCACTGTATCATCCTTTGCAGATGACACTAGGATCTTCATGAGAGTAGGCAACATAGAGGACACGACGAACCTCCAGTCAGATGTAGATCAGGTCTTTCTATGGGCTACAGAAAATAATATGGTGTTTAACGAAGATAAGTTCCAGCTCATGTGCTATGGAAAAAATGAAAATATAAAAACGGAAACCACGTACAAAACTCAGGCAAATCATAACATAGAACGAAAAGGCAATGTAAAGGATCTGGGTGTACTCATGTCGGAAGACCTTACCTTTAAAGAACACAATAAAGTAGCCGTCACAACTGCAAGAAAAGTGACAGGTTGGATAACAAGAACATTTCACACTAGAGATGCTATACCGATGATGATACTTTTCAAAACGCTTGTGCTCTCTAGAGTGGAGTACTGCTGCACAATGACAGCACCTTTCAAAGCTGGAGAAATTATTGACCTGGAGAGCGTGCAGAGATCCTTTACTGCTAGAATCCACTCAGTAAAACATCTAAACTATTGGGACCGACTAAAGAGCCTAAAACTGTACTCCCTTGAGCGCAGGCGGGAGAGGTACATAATAATTTACACATGGAAAATATTAGAGGGGCTGGTCCCAAACCTGCACACAGAAATGACATCACATGAGACCGGAACACATGGCAGGATGTGCAGAATACCCCTGTTGAAAAACAGAGGTGCAACTGGTACTCTGAGAGAGAACTCTATCAACATCAGAGGTCCGAGATTGTTCAACACGCTTCCTCTACACATAAGGGGCATAACTGCCCGACCCCTCACAGTGTTCAAGAGAGAACTGGATAAGCACCTCCAAAGGATACCTGATCAACCAGGCTGTGACTCGTACGTCAGGCTGCGAGCAGCCGCGTCCAACAGCCTGGTTGATCAGTCCGGCAACCAGGAGGCCTGGTCGACGACCGGGCCGCGGGGACGCTAAGCCCCGGAAGCACCTCAAGGTAACCTCAAGGTAAGGTAGTTTACCAACTTACTTAGCAAAGCTTAAGTTTAACAACTAACCTCTGTTGCACTGAATGATTCAGATTGGTTGAATTATTTTAACTGAAGTTACTTACACAAGCATCTTAGGGAAGAGCTATTCTCAATTACAAAATGGCTATTTGACCTTTGAGAATTACTGAATGTGGAAACTCTGTTGACCTGTGACCGCCAGGTCGCCGAGGTCACTCCGCGCTACAGCCTAGTCCTGGCTCGTGACGTCCCTGATGGTGACTTAACTCATTATCCTGACAATTAGAATCCTCTTGATATTATAATCAGTAATATTATACAATTTGAATGAAGACTAATTTCTCTAAATAAGTGCCCGCCAAACACACACTGAAACTACGACGTTGGTACAACGTTCGAACAAGTTTTAACGCCTCCTAACCAGTTATAACAACCAATATAGCAAGTTGTAACAACGTTCTAATACGTCATAAACACGTTAAGCCAATATGTAACAACTTTATTACAAGTTGTAACAAGCGGAAAATAGGGACAGTTTCGGTTTGTGTTTCCAGGGTGAATACTATAGAATGATTCATTATACGTTGCTATGAGACAAAGGGCGCCAGCCATTTTGTGACTCAGACTTGCTAATTCCCAGGGGGATGCGCCTTGTGCTTCCAGAGTCAGGTCACTACCACTTGACTCCAATCTTACCAAACTCCCATGTCTGAGATAAAACATTCTAGATCATTCCCACAACAGCTAGTTTGTTACACCAGGATGACGGCCACACGGATGAAAGTCACACGGAAAAAAGTCACAAGGATGAAGGCAACACGGATGAAGGGTACAAGAATGAAGGCCACTCGGATGAAGACCACATGGAAAAATGCCTTCCAAATGAAGACCCGCACTGATGAAGGCCACGCGGTTGAATGTCACACAGGTGAAGGCTACAATAATGAAGGCCACACGGATGAACATCACATGGATGAAGGTCTCACGGATAAACGCAACTGGGATATAGACAACTAGGATGACGTCCACAAGGTTGAAGGCCATACGGATGAACACCACATGGATGAAGGTCTCACGGATGAACGCAACTGGAATATAACACCACTAGAATGACGTCCACAAGGTTAAAGGCCGTACGGATGAGGGCCAAAGGGATGTAGACCACAAGAATGACGGTCACTAGCTTGAAGGTCACACGGATAAAGGCCACAAGGATGAAGCCCACATGGATAAAGGCCACTGGGATGAAAACCACTAGGATGAAGGCAACAAGTGTGAAGGCCACACGTGTGAAGGCCACTAGGTTGAAAGCCACACGGATGAAAACCACACAGATGAAGGCCACACAGATGAAGGCCTATGGATAAAGGAAACAAGGATGAAGGCCACGAGGATTGAGGCCAAACAGATGAAGGCACAACGGATGAAGACCACATGAATTAGGGCCACATGGATGATGGCCACACGGATAAAAGTCACACGAATGAAGACCACAAGGATGAAGGCCTCAAGGATGAAGACCATAACGAAAAAGGCCTCACGGATGAAGGCCACAAGCATACAGGTAACAAGGATGAAGACCACACGGAGAAAGACCTAAAAGATGAAGACCACAAGGATGAAGGACCCACGGAGAAAGACCTCAAAGATGAAGACCACAAGGATGAAGGCTACACGGATGAAGGCCACATGAATGAAGGCCACAAGAACGAAGGTCCTAAGGAAGAAAACAAAAACCACGAATGCCACATGGATGAAGACCACAAGCATGAAGGATACAAGGATGAAGGCTTCAAGGATGAAGGCCACAAGGATGTAGAACACACGGATAAAGATCACATGGATGAAGGCCACAAGGATGAAGGCCACAAGGATGATGGCTACAAGGATGAAGACCACAACGATGAAGGCCACAGGGATTAAGGTCACAAGGATGAAGGCCACAAGAATGAAAGCCACAAAGATGAAGGCCACATGGTTGAAGGTCACACATGTGAAGGCTACAATGATGAAGGCCACATGGATGAAGACCACATGGATGAAGGTCTCACGGATGAACGCAACTGGGATATAGACCACTAGGGTGACATCCACAAGGTTGAAGGCCACACGGATGAGGGCCACAGGGATGTAGACCACTAGAATGATGGCCACTAGCCTGAAGGCCACTAGCATGAACGCCACAAGGATGAAGGCCATATGGATAAAGGCCACAGGGATGAAAACCACTAAGATGAAGGCAACAAGTTTGAAGGCCAACCATGTGAAGGCCACAAGGATGAAGGCCAACGGGGACAGTATACAAGGATGAAGGCCACGAGGATTGAGGTCAAACAGATGTAGACCACATGGATTAGGGCCACACGGATGATGGCCACACGGATGAAGGTCACACGAATGAAGACAACAAAGATGAAGGGCTCACAGATGAAGACCACAACGAATAAGGCCTCACGGATGAAGGCCACAAGAATTCAGGTAATAAGGATGAAGACCACACAGAGAAAGACCTTATAGATGAAGACCACAAGGATGAAGGCCACATGGAGAAAGACCTGAAAGATAAAGAGCACAAGGTTAAAGGCCACACGGATGAAGGCCACATGAATGAAGGCCAGAAGAATGAAGGTTACAAGGATGAAAACCTCAAGGATGAAGGCCACATGAATGAAAACCACAAGGATGAAGGCCTCAAGGATGTAGGCGACATAGATGAAAGTCACATTGATGAAAGCCACAAGGATGACGGCCACAAGGATGAAGGCCTCACATGTGAAGGCCACATGGTTGAAGGCCACACAGATGAAGGCGACATGGAAGAAGGCCACACGGATGAAGACTACAAGGATGAAGGCAACAAGGATGAAGGCCACAAGGTTGAAGGCCACACACAGATGAAAGCCACACAGATGAAGGCCAACGGATAAAGGACAAAAGGATGAAGACCACGAGGATGAAGGCCAAACAAATGAAGGCACCATGGATGAAGACCTCAAGGATTAGGTCGACACGGATGAAGGCCACATGGATGAAGATGACACGAATGAAGACCACAAGGATGAAGGCCACACGGATGAAGACCACAAGGATTAAGGCCTCACGGATGAAGGTTACATCGATGAAGGGCACAAGGATGAAGGTCATAAGGATGAAGACCACACGGAGAAAGACCTCAAAGATGAAGACCACAATGATGACGGCCACACGGATGAAGGCCACACGGATGAAAGCCACATGGATGAAGACCACATGGATAAAGGTCATAAGGATGAAGGCCACAAGGTTGAAGGCCATACAGATGAAAGCCACACTGATCAAGGCCAATGAATAAAGGATAAAAGGATGATGGCCACGAGGATGAAGGCCAAACAGATGAAGGCACGATGGATGAAGACCACAATGATTAGGGCGACACGGAAGAAGGCCACGCGGATGAAGGTAACAGGAATGGAGACCACATGAATGAAGGCCACACGGAAAAAGACCTCAAAGATGAAGACCACAAGGATGAAGGCCACACGGATGAAGGCCACACAGATGAAGGTAACATGGATGAAGGCCACTGGGGTGTAGACGACTAGGATGACGTCCTCAAGGTTGAAGGCAACACGAATGAAGGCCACGTGTATGAGAGCCGTAGTGATGTTGACCACTAGCTTGAAGGCCACAAGGATGAAGGCCACAAGGATGAAGGCCACAAGGAGGAAGACCACAAGGATGATGGCTACAAGGATGAAGGCCACAAGGATGAAGGCCACAAGGAGGAAGACCACAAGGATGATGGCTACAAGGATGAAGGCCACAAGGATGAAGGCCACATGTATGAAGACCACAAGGATGAAGGCCACAAGGATGAAGGCTACAAGGATGAAGGCCTCAGGGATGAAGGCCACAAGGATGTAGGCCACACGTATGAAGACCACAAGGATGAAGGCCTCAGGGATGAAGGCCACAAGGATGTAGGCCACACGTATGAAGGCCACAAGGATGAAGGCCACAAGAATGAAGGACACAAGGATGAAGGCAACACGGATGAAGGTCATGAGGATGAAGATTTCGAAGATGAGGACCACAAGGATCAAGACCACGCGGATGAAGGCCAGAAGAATGAACTTCTCAAAGATGAAGGCAATACGGATGATGGACACAAGATGAAGACCTCATGTATAATGGCCACAAGGATGAAGGCCACACGCATGAAGACCACAAGGATTGTGGAAAAATCCTAGCTCTTGCTGGTCAGTCGTTTGATGGTGTAGGGTTTTCCATAGAGAACGTTTCACCGTACCAATCATGCGTTCATAGAAGCCTCCGTGCCATGATGCTCTGGGAAGTATGACTTTCCAGTAGCACTGCCGTTGATTTAGGGTCGTGCGCACCTTTTGGTGGTTCCAGATTTTCCTCATACATGCTTCTCCTGTCACTAAGTTGGACCCATTGTCTCAGATCATTAACTTTGGACAGGATGTACGTGAAGCAAACCTGCGGAAAGCCTGTAAGAATGCCTTGGCACTCATATCGGGAGTCACTTCTAGATGGACTGCCCTTGTTGTGGCACAAGTGAAAAGGCAGATATATGCCTTTACTATTGTTTTTGTCCTTGCTGCCTGTTAGTGTTAGTTCTCCTGTGAAATCTACTCCTGTAGTCTCAAAGGGACGAATATGTACAACTCGTTCCCTCGGGAGTGGAGGAGGTCCCAGATATGGACACACTCTGGCATCGTATCTCCGGCAAATAACACAGGATTTAATTATGGATTTTACAGTCTGCCTACCAGAGACCCAAATCATTTTGAAGCTTCTTAGGGACATTATCAAATTCTGTCACGCATGTGTCTGTCTGAGCTTTTGACCCAGTACCTAAGGGCGTTAGGGAATTTATGCTTGATTCCTATTTTCTTTAGAAAATCAAACACCACTTGGGTGACACCCATTAGTTTGTTCAGTTCAGAGTACCGATTAGGATCAATTACTATAGTTCGAGTTAGTTCTAGGTTCTCAGTGGGAACAGTGACATTGGTCACAATGACTTGTGGCTTTTGTTCAGGCCACTGGTCGCTGACTTGCCACTGAGGTCCACTGAACCACATCTCTGCCTATTTCCTTAATGCAGTTACTCACGTAAGGATTTTTACTATTATTGTTTTTCACCCACTGTAGAACTGCCTCATTATCTGACCATACCACTGTTTCTTCAAAGTGGATGTTGCTTAAGGCCTTGATCAGATAATGAGCCAATCTTGTTCCTAGCAGTAAGGCTGTTAATTCCAGTTGTGGCAATGATCGTTTCTTTAACGGTGCCACTCTGGCCTTTGATGTGAGCAAATTGGCTTGCCCATTTGAGACCAGGTAAGCTACTACGCCATAAGCCTTTCCTGAGGCATCACAGAATACATGAATCTTAATTGGTTCTTTTTCATTTACTGTGTTCCGAGGGAACTTGACAAACAGTAGGATACTTAAATCTTTCACCAGCCCTTGCCATTTTGCTTGTAAGATAGGCGTTATAAGATCATTCCAGCCTATCTTTTGTAGCCAACATTCCTGCATTATCAACTTCCCATTTATTAAGATTGGACTTAATAGTCCCAATGGTTCGAAGGGTTTGCTGACTAGGGAGAGTAATTTTCTCATTGTTAGGTTGGTGGTATCCGGCTCCACTGACTTGATTGTCAACTGATCTGCTGTTGTATCCCATTCAACGCCTAGTACCTTTGTCTTCTTGGGTACCTGGTAGTTGCGAAACTCTTTTTCGATCAGTTGATTTAATTTGGCATTGTTGGAGACCATGACTGGAGAGGCATATTTGCTCCAATTAATTCTCGATTGGCCTCGTCATATATGTTCAGCAGTTTACTTTCACTGCTGGCTGTTCCTCTGAAATTGTCCACATACAAGCTATTGCTAATTTCTGTTTTATTTGGGTTATTGGACTTCTTCAAGTGCATGTCTAAGGTAGCTTGAAGCAGAAACGGAGAAGTGGCACCAAACAAAACAGACGCAAACAGTGATTAATTAATTCACTGTTTGGATTGTTAGGATCCTTAATCCGTAAGTACTTGGTGTAGTTACGGTCTTCTTCTTGGAGACCTACCATAAGGAAGGCCTTGCTGATATCGGCCATAAATGTGTAAGTCCTAATGCAGAACTTTAACAGCACGTCGTGTAGCCTTTGAGTCAGGCTAGGGCCAGTTTGAAGGCAGTCATTTAAGGAAACACTATTCTGCCTGGTCTTTGCACTGCAATTAAAAACTATCTGTAGTGGGGTAGTAGCTGCAATTTTCAGTACAGGGTGGTGAGGCAGGTAGTGTCCTTACTTTGGGGTTATCATTTGTGACAACTTCGATAAATCTGTCATCGAGTTGTTTCTGTATTAATACGTGGTACAATTTCAAGTTCTCAGGATGTCTTTGTAAGTGCAACACCTGTGATCCTAATTGGTTTTGTGCCATAAAAGGGTTGATGGGTAGCTGAGGGTGATTCAGCTTCCATGGTAACCTGACCCAGTAATGATTATCTCTGTACATAACTGAGTCTAGGTATTATTTGTAAGTCCAGTCACCATCTGGACTAGGTTGTTCAGGGACAATGCCGAGAGTTGCCAGGTCCTATAATTTATGTACAGAGGGATCAAGCTAATACTCGGTCATGTCTCTGAATTGTAATGGAGACTGTTCTAGTCATGCAACCATTATTGGGTTGGCATGTTGGTGGTCCACAGGTATGGGTTGCTTCAGCCGTAATACTGGGCCTATTAGCAAGTAGCCACCTGCAGACGGAAACAGGTTCATTCCCTGTTTTTCATCCTGTCCTTTGATAAACTTATGGTAGACATCTGAACCCATAAGGATTCCAATATTGGAGAGGTTGTCTGACGTAATGTTTTCAGACAATTTGATTGCCTTTTCTTCCAGGAATTTGGCTGTTGTCCCTAAACCATACACATACAGATCTGAAGGGAATCTATCTACTACAAAAGCTTGTATCGTTCAGACATAACCGTCTAAACGTACTTTAGGTTGAACTACCTTGAAGACTCGGGCTCCTGAGTTAGTCAGGAATGCTGCTATGTCTATTCATGTTTCTCGTACAGGCTTGAGTTTCAAGGCATCTGTATTTCTCCTCCTCCTTTGAGATAAAAGTCATTTGGGATCCTTGGTCAAATAATCCACGTATGGTGACCTTGGACTTTCCATTTTTAATGATCAATTGAGCAGTGGGTAGACCTGATTTATGATCAGACCTGGTTGTTCAGACACTTATGTCTGGCAGTATGGTACAGAGCTGTACTAAAGTGGAAGTTCCTTCCTCCACTTGTGGTTTGGGAGACTTTGTACTTGATTCCCCACAGAATGCTGTATGGTGTATACCCTTATCATATCTATTACAGGTATGTATTTGAGTTGTACAGGTGTCGGGATTATGTGACCTTATACACCTGGTGCATTGACGTAACTCTTTGAGTCGTTTTATACATATTGCACGATAAGGGTAAGCTCTGCAGTTGTACATGGTATGTTGTTATTCACCGAACAGACATGGCCTCCAGATGTTAACAGCAACTTCGGGAGTCACCGGTTTGGGTGACACATTAACTGTAGGTATGGAGGGACCCACTGCATATGTGCCCAAACTACCATGATTCTACCTTGGGGAAGGGGAAGTTGTTTTAGATTTATTTGGAGTACTGTTTGTACTCTGTTGTTTACTATTAGTGGTTAGATGTTGATTTTCCATCTGTGTTATCTCTTTGTCTTTCTATGATGGATCGCAAACCTTCTGTTATCTCCTTTACTGTCAGATAAGATTTGTTGTATATGAATAACAACTTATATAGTACGTCACTGGGTAATTTGCATCTCATATGGATTTCGATTATCCAGTCTAATTCATCCAGATTCACTTTATTGTTAAGCGCCTTGAGCAAGGACTCAATCGCCAATCTAAAGGCTTCGAGTGAGTCAGCTGATCCATCTGGATGAAGTATATCTAACAGTTTTTGGGTTAGAAATCTGATAGCCCTTTCAGGCTTAGCATAATTTTCCTTAAGGAGCTCCACTGTGCTATCATAACCATTATCTGTTAATGTAAAATTGCAGACCACTTTTAACGCTTCATACCTTAAGACACTCTGCAAATGTGTAAATTTTGTGGTCTTGGCTATAGTGGCATTAGAATCCACTGAATTGACAAATTTGTTCCACAAGTTATCCCAACTTTCATCCTCTGTACCAGAGAAAGTTGCTAGACTGAGTGATGGTAATTTGACTTCTGGTTGTGTCGAGTTTTGGGAAGCTGTGGCTGCAATGTTCGTAGTGGCCTTGTGTATGGTTATTAACTTGTCAAAGTGTTGTAAATTTGTTTGTATTGCATCTTCATAATCTGCATTTTCATTTATAGCAGCTTCCGTTGTTTCTTCATCTATGTTAGTATCAGCTAGCACACTGATATTTCAGGATTTGGTTTCTTACATGCTCTAATTTGCTCTCTGCAACCTTATGATGGCCCTCCAGTTCTACATAATCAACTGGAGTTTGTTTACATAAATCATCACATTTATTGATCTGTCGCGCTAAATGGCCCTTCATGCCTGCAAGGGTTGCTTTTACAATTTTTGGAGTAGACATGATGGCTGTATTAGCTAGCCCTGTTGCAGATGTACTAGTGCCAAGCCTTGTTGGCCTCTGATTTGGACAATTACTAGCGTTTGAGCTAGTAAAGCTATTAGTCTCCGAACTAAAGCTGTTTATCATTTACAAATGCACACAATATATAATCATACACACTATAAATTGAGTAGTAACCTTGTAACTATTGTGGGAACTGACCTGTGAGATTTATATTTATTTAATTTATATGAATATATATAGAATTTATATTTACATTAATTTATATACTTTGATAGCAATTTGTATAATGATAAGTGGACTGTATTTCTGCAATAATCTCATAATCTCACAAATCGATCCTCTACACATTAGGGGGGTTTATATTAATTGAATTTATAGATATGCAGCCAATCAAACTACAGTATTTGACTACATACATTGAAGAGGTTCCTTATCTTATAGTACAGCAGGCCTTAGTCCACCAGGTATAACCAGGATGTAGACACCACATTTTCCTCGTGTGAGGTAGCTTCCATCACCCTGGTAACTGATGCACAAAGCATGCTTCCTCGTCTTGACCTGTCAAAAGGGCGCTAGCTAAGAAGCCAGAATCCTATATA